CAGGGGGGATGGCCACGCCACAATCCCCTTCTCCTCCATTCTCCTCTCGGGATCTTGGGCACGCATGCACACGTGCCCGGCGTGAGTTTAAACCACCGAGTCTGGGACTCGAACCGTGGTCAGCTACATGGGAGTTCAGCGACATAGCCATTACGCTAACTGCTCTGGTCCCCCCAGTGTGATTTTCAAGTCACCAAGTCTGGGACTCGAACTGTCGTTGGCCATGTGAGAGTCCAGCACCTTAACCACCATGCCACCAGGCTGGTCGAGAAAAGTATCTTCATTAAGAGAAAACTTTAAGGTTAACAGGTGGCTTGGTGGTTGAGGTGCTGGACTCTCACATGACTGATAAGAGCCCTAGTCCCAGACCTGGCGGCATGCTTTCTCACCCTGCCCCTGTGAATTAAAATAATAAATTAAATTAATAATTCTTTTTAAAAAAGAGAGAAAACTTGGACTACAGACACACGATGTCTGGAAAGTCAAAATGTTGGCTTTTTGGGGTTTTTTTTAAGAGGTTTTTGTTATAGGGCGCGTGCGCTCGGCAGACAGATAGACAGATAGAGAGAAATCACCCCCCCTCCCGCAATCCCTTCTCCTCCATTCTCCTCTCGGGATCTTGGGCATGCACGCACATGCGCCTGGTGTGAGTTTAAGCCACCGGGTCCGGGACTCGAACTGCGGTCAACTATGTGGGAACCCAGCAACACAGCCATTATACTAACTGCTGGTCCCTGGAAAGTCAGAATGGTAGTTGCTAAAGCTGGATGATGGTATGTGGGGTGTCATAAAACTATTTTCATGGGGCAGTCAAGTGGTATGGTGGTTAAAGGCATTGGAGTCCCACATGACTGACAGCAGTTCAAGTCCCAGACCTGGTGGCTTGCTTTCTTGCTTTCTCTTTCTCTCTCTGTCTCTATCTGATCAAATTAAAAAATAATAACAAATGGGGAGCCAGCAGATGGCGTGGTGGTTAAGGCACTGGACACTCCCACATGGCAGAACACGGTTCGAGTCCTGAACCTGGTTGCTTGCTTTCTCACTTTCACTCTCTGTGTCTCTGTCTGGTCAAATTTAAAAAAGTAAATGAACAAATAGGGACCAGCAGTTGGCATAATGGCTATATCGCTGGACTCTCATGTAGTTGACCACTGTTCGAGTCCCAGACCCAGTAGCTTAAACACATGCCGGGCGCAAGTGTGTGAATGCCCAAGATCCCGAGAGGAGAATGGAAGAGGAGAAGGGATTGTGGCATGGCCATCCCCCCCCTAGGGGGGGGGGATTTCTCACCCTCACCTTTTATCTCCCTGTCTCTCTCTCTTTGGTGAGTGCACATGCCCTGTAGCAAAAACCTCTCCAAAAAAAAAAAAGAATAAAATTAAGTAATTATTTTAAAATAACAAACGGAATTAAATATTTTTTTAAAATCTATTTTAACAATGTTGTATCTATTGGAAAATTCTTATAATAAAAAGAAAAAACTCACTCTTTTTACTTACATTTGATGAGTAAAAATTAAGAGTTCTAAGTAGCAGTTTAATTGGCTGAAGTTAGTTCTAATTAAATTTAATCATATCCTGACGGGGACAGGGACTCTAAGTTAATGGAAAAATGCTCATTGTGAGAAAGCTGCACTAATTTCCCTTTTTTAGGGCACTGAAATAAACTTGTACTAACTTGTT